CACTCTCTTCTCTGGCAGTTCCCTGGATTCGAAGTGTCCCTTGTCTCTGGCACAGGTGGGCAGCAGGCTGGAGAGGAAAGCAGCACTGTTTTTATTGTCATTCCAATGCTTGGGGCTGTTGATGTTAGCTGCTCTAAATGTAGGCTTTGAGAGGTGAGGGAGAAGCATCAAGTGAACTGGAGGGGTAGTACTTTGACCTCTCGGAAAACAGAGCAAGCTGAGGAGAAGGAATAAGATTAAAAGAAAGAAAACCCTCTTCATCTGGGTCATGTCAGCTTGTCATTGTCAGTTTGGTGGTTCTGTAGCTGCAAGCCTACTTCTGCCTGCTGTGGAAGGAGCAGATCATTAATTAAAAAGCACGGCAGAGTGCAGCATACTTAGGGCTTTGAGGTACTGACAGGCTGACACCACCCAGAGTAACTGCAGAGAGCATGTCCAACACAAGGTATGGTTCTAAGAACTAAAAAACATGTCATCCAGTGTGTCACCCTTGAAGACAACATGTGGCATACAACCTAAAACTTCATTGCCTTCTGCCTCCCCGGCAGCTTCATGCATATGTCTACCTTCTCCTTAGTGTGACCATGAGGTGAGAATCCCTACGTAACACAGGGATTGGAAGAGCTTTGGGGTTCCCTAGGCCAGCTGGATGTGCAGCAGTCCTGACCTGAGGAGCACTGGAGCACCTGTAATGGTGCTGAGCAGAGGGGAGGAGTGGGTATGGGGCTAAGATGTATGGATCCCTGGCAGGACTGAGTTTTGACATGTGGAAACAATATTGTGGGTCAGAGAGTGTGGGACTGAGTCAGGTAAGAGAATGTGAGAACACACTCAATATAGGGCTGCTAAAGAGGGAGGAAGAAAGGATTTTACTGTTTGTGGCTTGAGGGATGGAGCAACGAGTGGATCAGGTGGAAAAGAATCTGGTCGGGCTGTGGTGTAATTTGTACAATATACCCTCAGCTTGCAATTTATCCCAGACCTTTTTGGAAATGTTCTGGCATTCTTCAACAGTGCTTACAAGTATCTGATAGTCACTGGGCTGGGCAACTGGCTCACTGCTCAGAGTGCTGACAATCTGCCCCCTCTCCTTTGTCATACTCACCTGCAGATTTAATACTTTTATTTTGAAGTATACAGCACTTTCCTGTCCTGTGAAACAATGTGTCTCCTCTGCCATTCTCATGGAGATGAAGTGCAATGATATCACTTCCTAGTGAGGGACTGGTGAATCATTTTGATGGTGTTCATGAATCAGTCTTTTGCTACCAGTTTCTGCACTGGTCTTAATACAATATTCAAAACCAAAAATCATAATTTCAGGGACTTTTAACTTTTTGTTAAAGAGACAATACTGTCATTATCTCCTTGCATACCATACTGATCATGCTGCAGAAGTGCTCTCCCAAAGATATTTGTGTAGCTAAAGATACTGACACCTATCCAATCGATCCCTCTGCAGTGGTGGGGGGCTTGCTTGCAAAAGGGTAGGGAGAGGGATGGCACATGTTTGTCTCATGGGCTCTGGTGGGTGGTCTGACAGCTTAAAGTTTAAAGCTCTCCTGTGAATCTGATAACCTCTTGCAGAAGAGCAGAAGCACCCTGAGCTGTCACGGCTGGTGTGCAAAGGCTGGTTGAGAGCCTCTGATATTGTATTACATGCCTAGGAAGTGTGACTGGTTGTTCATCAGCTTTGCACCTCCAGTGCTGTAAAGAAGGCAGAAAGCAGGAGTAAGTAGGTCCCTCAGAATTTCCTTGTTGAACAGAAGAGTTGTGGTTGTACTGAGGCAATGGTAAAGGTCTTTGACATGTATCTTGTTATGCATTGGCACAGAGCTTTTTCCTAGGGAAAAAGGAGTTGCTCATGGTGTGAATATGATCCTGTGAAGGTAAAGACACTCGTGGTTTATTCTTGACAAGGTCTGTAGGTGCTTGAAAGTCGTCTTTATGACAGCACTAATCTTCTGGCAACTGCAGGGTCAGGGAGTTGCAGGAGAAGCACAGAAGTGCCTTAGCACATTGCCTTGTTTGATGGGCCAAGTGTCCCTCCTCACAAAGATCCAGCCTGTTCCTCCAAGGAAGCACAGAGTGCTCTCCAGCAAGCCCACTACTGCCCTCAGAGGGTATTTCCATGTTGCTTTGTCCTGACCATTGCACGGTGCCCTTTTTCTGTGATACATTGCACCCGGCCAGCTGGTATTTGTAACATGTTCCACAGAGTTCAAAAATGAAACTTCTTTGGAGGAGGTCAGTGTCCTGTACAGGACACATCCCGTGTGTGGGCTGCCTCTGACAGATTGCTGTCACTGTCACCCAACAGGCCTGTCAAAAACAACAGCACCTGCCCGTGGACTGCACTAACGCAGTGATACCAGCCAAAATAGGAAGTGTTAGCAGCATTGTTTGCCCCTGTGTGTTCCTGTTTGTAGTCCCTCTGCACTAGGAGAAGCACAGTGTAAATGTCTGGGTGGATGGTTACGTGCGTTAGGATAATGATACCAGGCACCATTCAATTCTGAGCAGTTGATGTGCAATTATTGCAACAGAAAAGCAGCACAGAACATTGCTTAAGAGTTTTTTCAGTTATCAGTGACTTTCCTACCCACAGGAAGGTAGGGAGGTAACTTGCCTAAAAGTTTTGTCATTCCAGAATCAGTGCAAGGATCAGATCTTCCTGATCCATGGCTGAGAAGCTGTGTTCTCACACTTGGGCTATGCCTACACGCTGGAGATTTTTCTGTAACATTTCTCTTTTGTGATGGATGAAATCCCATTTTTATATCATTATATAAGGTTATTTGGCTCTTCCTGCCGATGCTGCAGCCGTTGGTGCATCTCACCTGTGTCATTAGCACTCCATAGCCAAATGCTGTTTTGTGCCCAACAGGGATTCTCAAAATAGCCATTGTTTCACTCTCTCTCTAAGCTTGTCTGCATTCCAAGCCACTGAATTTTCCATGTGGTCCACTCTCAACCTCCCATTGTAAATTACTGCCCTTGTAACCCACAGTCTAATTTTTCTCACTCTATTCAGTGGAACTACTGACCACAGTAGCAGGTCAGGTTGGTGTTATACCTGTGAGAATTTCCTGGTTGCCTGATTTGTACTTATTTTGTAAGGCTTTTTGGTTCCCTGCTGCCCTGATTTCATATATGTGACCTTGAAATTGGTTGTTTGAACATGACTTTTATTTTCATTTGGACTCCCCAGAGGACTGTAATTACAGCACTGCCTTGTGACTGTGCTGAATAAGAGCCCAGCTGAAATTCTCAGACCAAAGGATACGATAGCTTCTAGTAACCTTCGTGCCTTTCTTATGCTTTTTTCCCCCCTAAATAATACCTTTTTGCATTGTTTAGGGTTAGTCATTCTGAAAAAAAAAGTTATTTCTTAGTTACCTATTAAAATTTAAGAAAATAGTGTGTCCTCTTCCCCCTTATGTGTGCACACCTTCTCCTTCCATATGATTTGCTGTTGTAAGTTGATCATCTCTTTCCATTGTTATGGGAAAACATTTCATAGGCACCATTTTATAGACAAAGGAAGGGAAAATCTAACAACTTGTACTCTGCCTTTAGAAGCTCTGAGTCCAAATATGGGAAAATTAGCAAACATGAAGTGCAGGCCAATAGTAAGGAGAAGGAAATGGAGTTACAGATTCTAAAGGCAGGATGAGGTTGTTCAAAGAGGCAAGAGGAAGGACCGAGGATCCTTGGCAAAGAGAGACCCAGTGGTATGGGTCAGCTTCATTCCCATTGAATCTGAGTGTTATCCCAAATTTATGGAGATATGACATCCAAAGCCTTCCCAGAGAGAGAGATCTTAGCCCAGAGGGCAGCTTGGGATAAGGCTTAGAGCACAGGGAAGAAAAGGAGACATGAGAGGACAAAAGGAGTAAGAAAAGTTGATTGAGTGAGTGAGTAGGGAGGAAGAAAAGCAGAGGGATTGGGAGCAGCCTGGGATAGTACTGTGTAAATGCAAACTGGGGTCTTGAGCAAAGTCAAAGGGAGTTTTCCCAAAAAATAACAGTATTTACAAGCCCAGCACAAGAACTTGAATTTGACCTGAAGGCAGAGAGAATGGCAGCATTTCTGCTGTGTGTTAGGTCTGCATTTGGAATTTCAAGCTTTGTTTTGCCTCTGGAGTCCTCAGTCTTGCACAGTCCCATTTTCAGTGATAGTGAGTTCCTATCCTTGGCAGCAACACCAGTCATGTTCATCTTTAGTAAAGCCATCTCCAGAATGAAAATAGCTGGTGGAACTAACAGTGGCTTTTTGAGAAGGAACACTGAGTGTGCCACAGTCACAACCTGGGAGCATTTTTTCCAGCCAAGCACAGGGACCATGTGTACAGAGCTGTGTTTGATGACATCTGGGGCAGCAGCAGGGCAGACAGGCTTGCATGCTGGTGCTTGCATGTCTGCTGGAGAAGGTGGAGGTGTACCTGTGCCACATGGGGAAATAGTGGTACACAATGAAAGCTCTAATTAGAAGATGAAATGTCATGCTATAAAAAAGGTAATTTACTGACAGAAGAAAAATAGCAATTATCTGAACAATTAACTTACCTTTCATCTTTCTAGATACTTTAACAGCAAGAGATTTAGAATTAATCTAGAAGAAGCTGGAGCATTCATTCGAGGCTGCATAAGGCTTCCTGATCAATTTATGGTACTCTTCTGGGGGAAGAGTCTCTTACTTAAATTAGCTTAACCCTCACTTTATTGTTGTTACTGGTCAAATTAATTGCTGACTTTGTCAGAGATCACAAACCCTCCACAAAACTGATAATATTTTCTTAGGTGTCTTCATTTCTTGCAAGGTGAAGATGTATAAAAAAATAAAGGAATTTAGGTGGCCGTTTGTTGAAGTGAGGAATCAAAACTGTATTTTCAGCACATCTTAATGATGTAAATGAATCCATAGAACATATCTGAAATGTTATATGTATTTTAAGGTTTGCTTTTATTCCACTTGTGTTTTTTCCTCTCTTTTTCCAGTCATAGTTTCAAAAATGTCAAAGGAGCCACAACTGAGCATTTCTTCTGTTCCCACCTGTGCTTTGGATTGTGAAAGAATAACATTAGTACATAGAGATCTTGACTTCCTCTTGGATGCATCTGGAAGATTTTATTAGGCAGTCCACTGTGCCTGTGATCTGTCTGAGAGCAGCTGATGATGAGCATTGCCAAGATATTGCACTGGGCTGCTGATAATTTTGTGTCTTTCAGATGACTTGAAAAACTGGATTCATGGAACATCACTCTCGCAAACCACAGCCTCACCATGGGGACATCGGGGCAGCCACAGCTGTACTAAGTATCTTCACCAGCAATCTTTCACCCTCTGACAAATCTTTTCTTCTTGAAGGTGATTGTGGGTGGTCTTCCCTTGTCCAATTTCTGTAAATTTGGTGCATCGCTTTCTAGTCATGCAGCTAATACTTGTGTTTATATGAAAGACTGTTAAAAAAAAAAAGGAAAGATCAGATGTTTGTGGTTTCATTTCAACATAAATCAAACTTTGTACTCACATAGCAATTCTACTTTAACTCCAGGAATAGCTTTAGTATTGCTAAGTGTCTGGAGAGTATTGACTAAAGAGACATGATTTTAAGCAGACTATAATAGTTTCTACAGCTGTTAACAGTTCTCAGAAGAAAGGCAGTATTATTCACTAGTGTTTAAAATGTGCATGACTTGCATTGCACAGAAGTCAGATTGGGAGAATGTCAGAATTTTTTTCTGAAATTCTGCCAGGAAAGTCTTCAATAACTGGAGAAATTCTTTTCACTGGTGAAATCAACATGCAGCACATTGTGTTATTATACTTGCTTATAGCTCACCATGAAAGTTGTCTTTGTATGCGTGGATGTACGGCTTGTACTGTTTTGTTTTTATTTATTCTGCATTCTTTATTATAATGTTCTTTCCTTTTTTTCCAGACCAGAAAGATTGTTATTGAGCCTTCCACAAAGCTGAAATAATGCTGTGTGTTAAAAAAATGTTAACAATTTGAAGAAGTTATAAAAATTTATAAGTTGACTGAATTGTTTGGAAATTTCTGCATATTTTAATATAAATAGGTAATGCAAATGTTTGTTCTTTGCATTTAGAGGTGGGTCTCTGTTTTCTAAAGGTCTTGTATATAAATTCGATTCTTAAAATTGCATTAGAACAAAACCAGTATTTTTTTCAGATTGTATAATAGGAAAAATGTATTCCAAAAGACATAGAACATACATGGTTATCTCTGAATGTCATATAGTCATGAAATTCAATATAAATAGCATCAGTTGTTTGAATGGCTTCATTAAGTGCATTTAGGGGACTGCCTGTTGCAGTCAACTGAGGTCCTTCCATTCTGTTCCATGGGTGCTGGGTTGGCCCACAAAGAAAAGACCAGTTAACTGAGAGATAAAAGGAGGTGATTTCTCTATAGATAGTGTGAAGTTCCAAATGGTACTGGTATAGGTTACACAGAAATGCAGTCACATAAAATCAAAGAAATCACAGAAAATGAAGTTATTTCAGGTGAATTTGGTGTTAGTGATGAGTTTGAACTTTATTCATATCTAAAAACATAGAACAGGACAAGTAAGTCCAAAAGAAAGAAAGGAAGAGTAGAAATGGGTGACAGAGAAGAGGTGAGTGACAGGATACTGGCAGGTGGGCAAGGACCTAAATGATGACAGACAGTTTTAACAACTAGTCCAAAAAGATCAAATGTTCAAAGGTTATGATCCACTGGAGGTGCTGATTCGGTAAATAACTGAAAAGACAGGCATTAAACTGCTTTTTGGAGGGGGTGGGGAGGGAGAGCAATGCGAGTTTTGGGTGATTGTACCACAGATTAGAGAGGGTTTGTTAAGTTTCCCTGGAGGAGAATGAATGTCTGATACTCCCAGACAATTTCTTCACAAGCAGCTGTAGCAGCCGCGAGGAGTGACCTGGAGAGCTGCAGCTCTGGTGATGTCCCCTGGCCTGCACTGTGTGCACCTGGGGTGCTTTGCCCGTGCTGCTGGGGTACCTCTTCCGGCTTAGTCCCATCTGAAGGGAATCCAGGCTGTGCTCAGGGACTGCACAAGGAGTGGGGCATTTGAGGGGCTGGCTCCAGAAGCTCACTGCTGCTCCAAACCCGGACACTGATGGAGGTGTGCCCTGTAGAACTGTGGGGTGGCAGTGGTGGCGTGGCACAGGGCAGAGGGAATGCTCAGAATGTACTGTTCCATGTTACAGGTGCTGGCAGCATGTGGAGCCGAGAGCAGTGAAAGCCCAAAGGAGTACTGCACACACTGAAGAGGTCACCAGGAGCTGTTGTGCAGGGTAAGCCCTTCAGGAGAGAGAAAGAGAGAATGATTGATGCAAGCCTCTGTAGGAAAAGTTGGTGCCTATCTGAAGTTTACTGTAATTTAGTATTTCAGGATGGATTCCCTCCTGACATACTGCCTGTGAAATTTTGATAGGCCTAGAAGCACTTTGTAGCACTAGCTTCATTTAGAAGTGTGCAAAACTAATGCACAAGAATGCCAGGCTTTTGATGTGCAGTTCTTATAGATCTTTTTTTCTTAAGACATCCTGGAATATGCTTTGCTGAGTTGAAAGGCTTCCCTGGTCATTGACACCAGTGCTATGAAAGACTGCTCTCCAAATGGAATCACTATGGTAAATGAACCCTTTAAAACCTACACTCACAAAACTGCATTCAGTTCAGGAAAGGGTGTTGATTCTTCAGTCTTCTGTGAGTCACTTCCACTGTAACATTCTCTGGAATCATTCAATTTTGAGTGTTAAAAATGGCTGGTTGGTAGTGTGGAGTTATCATAGATAGAGGTATTTCCATGTTCCCTGTCAGTGCCACTTCATACCATATTTATTCTCACACAGCCTGTTATATAAAAGTACCATTTTACAGAGCGGAGGCACAGAGAGAACAAGTGATGTAGATAAGTCTGTGTAAGGAAATATGTTGCAGAGCTGGTAACAGGTTTCCTCAGCTTGCAATGTTTAGCTGCTGGACTAGCTCTCCTCTTGTTCTGTGGTGTGTATACAGGTATATTCCTTTCCTGCTGCAGCTCTTGGTCGTTCCATCCAGCATGGACAAAAAGGCTGCACAGTGTTTAGGTGAGTCTGAAAGCTGATAGGATTCTTAACTTTAGTGGCAGCATCATGTCAAATAACATGATGGTCAGCTGAGACAAGTGTGTTTTAGTGCCTGAGTGTAGCATATTTCTGTATGCCAGTTCTTTGGAAACAAGGAAAGCAAAAAATGAACGGGGAGGTTATTGTCAGGAGCTCTTCTCCTTTCTACAAGCAACAGGCACAACAGTTTGCCTTTTGAAGTTTGCTAAAATGATTCTCTGATAAGATTTTTGGCTTATGAAATGCACCAGCACAACACAAACATCTTTACTAGATCTTGTCAGTAGTTGTGAAGATATATTTTAACAATTTTAGGATTTCCTGGGCCTCTTTCAAAATGGCTGTGTTACCTCACTAAATGCACTCATTATTATATGTCCTTGTCTAAGAACATTTGGCCTTATATGCTTCTGAGCAATATTTCCTTGGAACCTCTCAGATAATAAAAGGCAAACCAGAGAAGTCTGAACGAGTCTTTACTTAGAAACTGGCCATGTTCAATCTGTAAAGTATGTAGATTTTGGGGTTTTTTTTCCCGGGGAAAGGCCTCAAAGGGCAATAGGTGCAGGATGTGGAGGGAAGAAGCAGTGCCCTGACCTAAAGCATTTCTGCATGTTGAGTCAGGGAGTGACATTTAAACAATTTTCACTGTACCCAATATGAAAAACTGTGATGCAGATCAAATTGCTGGCTGTGCTCAGAGATAGATGAGGAGGAGAAAGGTAGCCTCTCCTGTGTTTCCAACGTCGGGAGAGCTTACCAGGAAGCCAAATGGATCTTTAATGCCTCTTTTCCCCCCTTTTTTTTTGTTTTTCTTTCCTTGAGGTAATGAATGGCTCTGGACTTTCCATCTTTAGAGCTGGTGGCTTCCACACCACAGTGATTCAGCCAGCATGAACTCTTGACCAAATCCCAGTTTGTTTCCTGGTTTTGCTTTTCTAAAATATTTTACATTTAGCAGGGCATAAAGGCCTCCCTACTACGTGACAGTGGAAGAAGGAGAGCCATGCTCCTTTTACTGGTTAGGTCTCAAAGGACAATTCTCTGTTCTTCTGAAAACATTGCAAATGAAGCAATATAAAAGGAATCACTGGATTTTGGCTGAAAGTCAGACTGAATTCTTCCATGCTCCTGGCTTTTGGATGCTGTGTGCTTATGTGGAATTTCCTTTAAGGGTTATTAAGGTCTTATTTTTATTTGAGAAATATGCCCTGCCTGGGCACATGTTCTAAGTTTTAATCAGTGTGTTATTGCATGGGAAACTCATGTACATTTGTTTACTGGCAAGATAAATAGATTAGTATTGCCAGTGATTTCAGGGGATAGTAGGTTGTTAAATTAACAAGAAAGGCCTTGTTCCTTTGCTTTGCTGGATGTGTTTTGTTGAGTGAATTCTCTGGGATGCCCTGCTGGTGGTTATACACTGGTGGTTATCCCTGTTACCCTGTAAGTGGTGGGCTCAGTAAGGACTTAGAGTGGCTTGGCTCTGGAGTTGTAACACCAAGAGGGAGATGACAGACAGGAAATCTATACCCTGGGAAAGCTACGAATGAAAGAAATCATACTCTGCAAATTAAAACCATAAAATGTTATTTCAAAAGTTTTACATTTATATAGATGCTTTATCTCCAGTGATATACCATATGAGGGGACAAAATATTGCTGTAAATAGGTTTGAGACCTAAGACAGGGACCTATTTCAGCTTAGCCCTGTGAAAACACAGCATTCCTCCCTTCACACCCTGTGTCATCTTCTTGTTCAACAGACAGAAATATCGGTAAGTACAGGTTTATTTCAGAGCCCCCTTCATGCAATGACCCCATTGTCTGAGTTCTTTTTCAGACTACTTTGCTGTTATCTCCACCATTTTCTCCCCGTACTCTGGAAACTTCTTGCCTGTCTCAGATTCTGCATGGGTTGCCCAAAGCTGTTTGCTGAGGTAAACTGAGTGTGTGAGGCCTTCCTTTTTTTCAAATACCTGCACTTCTTAAGTGGTATAGAGCATCCAAAATGCAGGACATAGATGTATGGAGATACTAATAACATTAACAGTGGATAACAAATATTCAGATCACCAGGTGTTCAAAAACAGCAAAGTGTCTGCACCAAGGGTGTCCTTGTTTTGCTTGTGTGCAGTGAGGCAAGGTTTCATGACATGATCACACAGGGGTTTTTTTCACTTTCTCACACAGCCTTCGAGTAGAGCAATTAGAAGGCAGCTGGAGCAGCCACTGCAGTGTGCACTGGGATTTAAGAGTGGCTCTCTGTCTACCTCCACATGGCACTAACACTGTGTCACCTTGGCTGTGCATGAGATTGAGTCTGGTCGTGGTGGACACACTGCACGTGGAGCCTGTGGGGAAGCAGGTCAGCATCCTACTGCTGTGGCTTTGGAATCACTGATGATAGGACCATGTCACTGAAGTCAGTGATATAAGATCAAGTTAACATCCAGAATCATCTCCAAAACCTCAGATTTTCACATTTCAGGATGTAAAACGCAACCTCCCTTTCTGCACTCAGTTTTCTAACATGACTGGCCCAGTCTGAGTGTCTTGTTCTGGAGCTGGAAGCAATTGCTGGACAGTATATGGAAGACACCATATGGTATTCCATATTCAAATGTATGGTATTCTTGCTGAACAGGGCAAGATGAAAAGGAAGGAGGAAGTTTTTCAGCCAAGTAAATAATTCACACAGAAGAATTTTCCCAGAGTATCTAACCTTCTCTTCTGCTTGCATCATGATGATGCAATTGCTGTTCCCTGGTATTTATGTACCTTTCAATATTTCTGTTACATTTTTAGCTCTGTGGATTGTTATGAAACAGTGTTGTGTGAGCTATCATGAGTCATGGTGTTGGCTTGGTGGGATTTGGGTGCTCTTACTGTGTTGTTGGTGCTTTCTGTTTGGATGAAAGACCAGACACTTCCAAGATAAATGCTCCTGAACTAATATAAACTTCAGTTTCTCTAAAGACTGTTCTGTGAAGCTCAGGCACTGGCTTTCTTTAAATGCAACTGCTGGTACAACTCAATTGCACAAATGTTTGCAGATAGTACAAAGAAAAGGGTCACAAAGAGAACTTGAGATAACAGAATGGAGGAAATGGTCTGCAGCACAGATTTTAGCTGTTAAGGGGTGCTGAGCTCTTTCTGTGCTCAGAGATGCTTATGGTGCAAAATCTTCATATGCATCAAAGATTAAACTTAGGCAAGTGCTGGAAAGATCACTGCTCTGTGACCTGTCTCTCAGAGAGCTTTTTCAGTCTCGAATCTGTTAGAATGTGGTTCCTGTTCCCCAGGCTGCTGTTATCTGCTCCTGCAGATAAGGATGGTGTGGAATGTTGTAGTGTATGTGATGACTGTTCACTGTGGCTGGTTCCTTCTGCTGAAATCAAAAGATGTTTTATGCCTTTTATGCTTCCCTCATTGATCTTAGGGCTCTAAGTGTTAACTGACTTTCTCTTTCATGCTTTGCAAAATCAGGGAGTTCACTGAAGGAGAGCGTTCCAAGCTGCTTTTGAGAACCCTGATGTTTGCGTCAGGTGACAGAGGATATTACTAAACTGACTTCTTGAAAAGAATCCTTGAGGACCCAGTGCTGTCACTGTGTTAGAGTGGGATGGCCACAGGTAGGACTGGTTGGCTCTGGGGCAGCGAGTGCCTGGGCCAGCACAGGAGCTGTTCAAGTGGTGCAAGGTCTCAGATTAGCCAAGGCGTAAATGCCCTGCTCCATTACAGCCTCACTGCGGCTCCCAGGGAAAGAACCTGGACCTGGTGTGGTTCAAGCTGCTCATCCTAGTCTGCTGAAGCCCAAACCCCCAGCCTGAGGACCCTGGTGAAGCTGTGACCATGCCAGCTGCTTCCTCTTGCTCTGCCAAAGGCCTCTGGCTTCCTGTTCAGCTGCCTGTAAAAGCATCTTTCTGCCAAGAAAGTGTGAGTAATCTTGCCCAGCTTCTTGGCATTTGTTGGCACAGAGTTAACCTTATGACTCTGATGGAGGTTTCAAGGGACACCCATTAACCCAGGGATCCAGTGCTTCTGGGAATGGGTGAGACATGGACAGGACATGGTTAGGTTGGTTCAGAGGTAAGGAACTGGTAGGAGGAGACACCTCTGCACCAGGACAGCTTTACTGCTCCCCCTGAGGGTCAGGGGAGAACACGGACCTCCATAGAGGAATTGGAATGGGGAAGGGAAAAGCCAGAGGCCAGGGCATGGAAGACTGACATGAGGGCCAAGGTTTTCAAAGGTGTTTCTTGAAGTAGAGGGATGTTGAGAGAGATGAGTGGAGGGGGCTCTGGGGGTCAGTGGTGGAAAGAAGGGCACTATGCACTTGCAGGGCTGTAATACAATATATAATTTACTGTCCAGTACCCACTTGCCCCTACAGGCAATAGAGAGATTCCTGTGTGGGTTGAAAATGTCTATTTATTTTGTCTGCCTCCATGATTAGGAGGCAAATTTAGGGCTTATCTACTTGGGGAAATCCCTGTAAAATAGGCTAGGGTATGAATTTACAGCCTACTTAAAGACCCAGCAGTAGATGCAGTGTAAATTCACACTTCAGCTTACTTCACAGGAACTCCCCCACAGAAACAAACCCTCAGAGTCACCTCTGTACCTCAGTCTGGTGCTAAAAGTGAGTGGAAGCTTTGCAAAATATGGGCCTGCAGTTCCATTTTTATAGCTGGGTTTTTCTGTCCCCTGGGGCTTTTTGCAGCTGCTGTAAATCACTTTCTCTTTGCTGAGGCTGGAGAAGCTGGGCCACTTTACACTGCTCAGGATCTGACCCTTTGCCTCAAGTAACCTTTTATTATCAATCGGCCAGAGGGTATTTTCCTTTTTGCTGGCTTCATTATTAAGCTTGTTCATTCACTCCCACCACTACTGATGCCTTTTTTTCTCTTTCTTTTTTTCTCCCTGTGAATTTTGTGTTGTGTCTTTCCTCCCATGTAATTTCCTAATAGTGAACTAGTGACAGAGTGGGCTGCTGGTATTTCATCTTGTGGCTGGAGAGGTCAGGCTGTTTCTGATACAGACAAACACTCCATTACAGTAAACTCACAGAAAGTTTCCTTTTCAACCTTAAAGGAGAAGGAAATGCACTCTCTACCAATGGGCTTTCATGAATGACTTCTGTGAGCTGAACTTCTACTAAAGGCCAGTTTGGTCATGTTCTGTGAGCAAGGGGGGAAAAAAAGAGGAAGACGTAATATTTTTTCTTTCTCTTTTTGCTGAGATTTGGCTTGACTCTTGGCTCCTTATCAGATTAGAGTCCTGCAGGGAAAACAACAACCCTTTGCACTGTGAATTGTTGAAGAAATGGTCATTGCTGATGTCCAGCTGAAAGAGCATAAGGATTTAAACCTTTGAAGTTCTCTGCTTCTGGTATTTAGGGACACTTGCTTCTTGGCAGAAAGAACTCACTAATAAGGCAAATACATAGCACAATACATTTTTTGCTGTACTCTAGGGCAAGACTGAAAGGACTGCCCCTGTCTACTTTATGGCAGTTTAATTTAAATTTATTAGACAGCTCCAGGGTATACACAGGAGTCTAATCCTGTAATCCATGGTGGGGCTCTGTGTACCCAGTATTACAGTGTTCCCTGTAAATGGAATAATTTGACATAAAATGTGCTCTCTACTTCTCAGGAGAGAACAAACTTAACAGAGTATTGTCTTACTGTTCACTACTTGGACTTAGCTGAGTTGCCCTTTATTAGAAAGGCATGAATAAAATTAATCCAAGTGTTGAAGGAACAGGAGCTGCAAGATAATAAATATTTATGTCCCAAACATGACATAGTATCATAAATCAATAATTTTTGAAGAGATTTAATTCTTCTTTCTGCCTAATTACTTGATTTGTGGCGCCAGTTTGCTTAAATTTGTTTCTGTGATAACTTGAGTTATTTTATGCCTCTACAGAAAATTTGATTTGCTGATTTCCCCTTTAAATGCAGTCAAAAATCCCCTATTTACAAAATTAAGAAACCAATAACATGGAATGAAAACATGCATTACATTGCATTGCCTGAACTCTGTGATTTGCTGATGCTGACACGTGCTGCCAATTACTAAAATACATGTTTTTGTTAAATATATACTGGTTTATTTTCCATACTATCCTGGCATTTTACTGTATGACGAAAATAGGTTAAAGAGTAGTTAAAAGTTTGGTTCATTTAAGTGTGGGAGCATATTATCAGTTGAAAAATGTTATTTGAAAGATGACTTTGAGCTTGAAACTGTTCTATTATTGGAATGAACATGGCAAGGTCAGATGTAGACCAAGTGGAAAGGAAGTCAATGGATGTGTTGGCACACATTTGTGGTGGGTGTAAGTCACGAATGTTGAGTACACTTGATAGTCTTCTCCCATCTTTCATAGACTGATTTTTATTATTTATTAAATACTTGCAGAGAAGGGACTGTGTGCTCCTGCTGCTCTTGGTTTGTGGTTTGCCTGCAGCAAATGCAGCACTTGCTCTAGACAGCCTGGTTAATTTATAAGCGTTGGAAATAGAATCTTCTGAGGAGCAGTACAGGACAAACTGCTGTAAGTAGTGCTTTCACAGGATTCAGTTCATGTTGCTTGAAAGGCATGTTTCAGCTGGTGTCATGTGCTTGGACGTGATTGATCTTTTAAAAGCTAGTTGATGAGAGATGTTGTCCTAAGCTTGGGGAGCCCAGTGGAGCAGTCAGTGCCTGGCTGCCTGACACTGTGTGTTGACTCAAACAGAAACCCTTTTTCTTTCCAGATGTAGCTGACATAGACACTGTAGACATTTGCTCTCCTGCCTCAGCCACAGGGTAGGTACAAGCCCAGCCAGGTGGGTATCTCACTGCCATTGCAGACAGACTCTGTGCCAAATCTATGTGTAAAGACATCTCAGTTACTCTGGTCAACATTCTCATGTGAAAAGAATGGGTAGGATATTTCAGAGGGATAACAATCCACAAGTCAGTGATCAACGAAGCGTTAAATGAAGAATGATGTGTGCCACTCACAGTCTTCACACCTACAAGGAATCTTTTCAGAGCCTGGCTGTGTTGCATTTCATCGAGATACCTGCTGAATATGTTCAGAATGTAAATGCACAAAATCCCATTCCCCTCAGGAGATAAAGGGCTGTGTGACACCAAACAGCTGAGTGTTTCAGAGCCAACAGACCTTGATCCAGTCCCTGGGCCTGCTCCAATGGATCTTGAACTGCCCTCTCATGGGCATGGCAGAACCCCCACTGCAGAACAGGCAGCCAGGACTACTGGAGCACAAGGTCTGTGTGTGCAAATCTCATCCCTCTGTGTGATGTAGTGGATCCCTTGGGTCATTTTTGCTTCCTGGCAATGCAACTATTGCTGAGAGAAGCCTGGCAGCCTGCCCTGCCTGGTGTGCCCCCGCAAAAGCTTTGAAACCAGCAGGAGAGTCTAGCTGCTTTCCCACTGCCAGGGCCTTGCTCTTCCCTGCCACTTCCCCAGCTGTGCAGCTTGGGCCCAAGCAGACCCTCTGTGGAAGGGTTAAAAGTACTGCAGAAGCCAAGCCAAGGATATAAATCAAAGCTGTGTTGAAAGCACGGGGTTACAGGTGTTTGTCTGGACAGAAAGTTTCGTGCAGGATACCAGGATCATGCACAAGGAATCTCGTGACCTGATTTCCAAGCTGTTGGGTCAATAGTTTCTTTTCTTCTCTGACTGAAAACATAGGCAGCATGTGAATTGGTAGTGGCCTTTCTGTTGGACAGATGTGTGATACGCATCGGCACACAGGTAGGCTGTGGCACGCTTGGGTCTCATGTGGAACAACTGGTGACTTCTAAGGGAATTACCTTCTGTTTTATTGTCATTGATATTAGTGGGTTTGGATTACTGCTTTCATGATAGTTTTATAGGTTATTGTGACAAGAAGCAACGGTCTGAGCTCCTTTTTCATTTGCCTTGACCATTATACACATTCAAAAGAAAAGGCCATTCAGGTAGGATACGTCTTATCCTCCTTGAGCTGCCTGAAGGCCAGGACTCTAGTAAATGTGTATGGATGCTCTCTGTTTCTCCCTCATCACTGAAGGTAGCCAGAGTGATTCATTAGGGATGTATGTATGAGAGTGAATCATCCAGCAGCACTGTCTGTCTCTGCTGGTGGTGGAGAGAGCCAAGCCTAGGCATTAACTCTAGGCTAAAGGGGCATGCTTTTCTTGCTCAGAGTCAAGGAAGTGTGAGTTTAATTTCCAATTCGCAGTATTTAGGTGCATAAAAAGAGCCTGGAGTGCTGCATGTCTGCAAAGGCATCTGTTGCCCACAGAGAGATCGATGTGCTGCAGATGCTTGAGCATTCTGCATATGCCCAGAGCTCCTCTTTGCCATGTCTTCAGTGAGCATCTCCTGCATGATGAGACACAGAGAGGCTCCCTTTTGCTGAATCTGCAGGGGCAGCTGTGACTTCTGGCAGGATGTACATAGACAGCTAGGTTGGACATAACATGGAATCACAGAATCATTAGGGTTGGAAGGGGCCTCTGGAGATCATCCAGTCCAACCTCCCTGCCAAGGCAGGGTCACCCAGCACAGGTGACACAGGAACACATCCAGGTGGCTTTGGAATATCTCCAGAGGGAGACTGCACCTCCTCCCTGGGCAACCTGTTCCAGTGGTCTGCCACTGTATCTTAAGGGCTAGTAGAAGCTGCTAGTAGAGTTCATCTATCAGAAACCTCACTCCTGGTTTCCTCATGCCAGCAGCATATCCAGGTCAGTTAGAGGCTGAAGAAGATAAAAGTGTACTGAACTGAAGGTTTGTACCCCTTCCTTTGGGACACGTCAGCACTTCTTAGGTTAGTGCTGCTTCACTCATACCAGGCAAAGCAGGGGCTACCTCAGAGTTAGAGACCTTTTATGATGTTAAGCATGGTGCCAACAGGCATTTGTTTTAAATGAGCGCTGGAACATAATTAAAATGGTATCTTTACAGTTTCTGGAAGATCTCTCTTTCTCTGGGAGAAGGAGGGCTGCTGTGAGTCTTATTTCACTGTGATTAAGTTATTCCTCCTGGACAGTGTGAAAGACAAATCGGGGAGTTTTGGATACCATCTCTTGAAGAGAATGAATCTGGATTCAATGCAGCTGGCTGTAGAAAGGTGAGGCCTAGCAACAACTGCAGGACACAGTTGCTATTCTTGTTTATCTTCTTTTTATACATATATAAATACGGTCTTAGATTACCTGATTTTTCTAGCTCAGGCATGCTTTACTTATGGTGTTGGCATTCAAATCCAAGACTACTTATGGAGATAATCTGAATTACTTCATAACTATGAGAAATCCTGGGGAGGCTTCTCAGTGTTTACAGAGGAGCATCTTGCTGTACCACAGTCCAGATATGTCAACACAGCCAAATCTCGTTTTAGTGTGTTATAGTTTAATTAGCTGCACATCTTGAGTCATAATCTGCTTCTCTGGGGCTGAAGCGCGCACACACACACGCACACACACACACACACACACACACACACACACACAGAAGACAAAATGCAAAATGTAAAGAAGTACTTGTGGTCTTTGCCACTTGGATTTGGTACCATCTGTTAACATGGCTTCTCCTAAAGTCAGTTTCTAGTTTGTTTGTTGAATTGGAGTTTCATCCCATGGATAACATTTCCCATCATTGTGAAGCTGTCAGCTGTAGCTCTCCTGAGAAAACCACCCTACTAGTCTGAGATCTGGGGCATAATTGTCTCCTGCTCAAAACCATCTTGCTTCTAGAAAGCAGCAGCACTGTTTGCTGTAGCTGAGGATCTACCCCATAAAGTCTTTAAAGGGCAAATTCTAATTGGGCAGTGAAGCAACGTGTTATTCCAGAGGACCAATTGCCATGCAAACCTTGGCAGAATTTCCCCAGATGTGCTAGATGCATCTGGACTTCCAAACCAGAGATTGATCTTTGGCTTCTCTAGAATATTACTTTACTATTAACTTTGTCTGTTTACTCCTCTGTCAGAAGGGCTGGTATTTTTGATTTTTCATCCTCTTTTTCACTACCCCTGTCTTTCAAAGACAAGGTGTTGGAGGGATTTCAAGAGCTGAAATATGGAATGGCCAGCCTGTGCCTTGGAGATGTGTGTACCTGTTGCGTGTTCAAGCGTGTCTCTCACATTGGAACATCACACATAGAGGTCTCTGTGCTCACCAGGGGGTTTGGTCATCTGCTCTGCTCTGAGGTCAAAGTGATAGATTGCTACACCAGCATCTCTGTGGTGTGGGGACATAGGGTCTGGTCCGCCTCTCCTGCCTACCAGTTCCTCCTGGACTTCCCCCACCTCTCAGCTCACTGAGATCAGTGGTACATATCTCATTGATCTCAGCAGTGTGAAGTCTTTGGCGTGTGGTTTGTTAACCTGGCTACTCCAGGGCAGTCTGCCTCTCTGTTGTGGTGGTATTCCTGGGTCTGTTCTTCCAGTCCTCCACTTTGAACCCTCCTGATGCTCCACCATCAACTTTTTGGGAGATTTTCCTTGTGTGTGCGCTTTTCCACACGGTTACCACTTCTCATGCTTTTCTTATTATTTTCACTGGTGTGCAGAGCCATGGCACCATATATGACAACTCTTTCCTCTGTCACTGTCATTGCTAAGCAACAGTCACATCTCACTCATCTTGCCCTTATAAACTGCAGAGACTAATGGCATCAGGTTGTGTGTCCTCTTCCTGTGTAGAATTTTATGGTCCTGTTTTTTCTTGGTCGTGTTGACCAAGCAAGGACAGAGGGAGCACGAAGCACTTAAATGAGATCAGTCTCTCATGAAACCTGCACAGAGGGTAACCACCATTCTCCTAGAATGGGAACAGAACAAAGCAGCTTGTGTCACTCTGTGTAACGATCATTAAAATAAGAATGGGAAATAGTACACTTCCCTCATGTCTTTTTGCAGTTCAGGAGTAGATGAATGACAGTTTTGGTTCCTTGTCCTCAGATCAAGGAATGGATGACTAATGTCATTGTGACTGGTGCCATCTAATTGGTCCAAAAGAATTTTCTGGTTGTTCTCATGATTAGCATCACTTCCCATCATGTGCCAACCATTGGAGTGCAAAGACCTCCTTTTGAACTGTCATGTTATGAAGAAGATGTAAAAGTACTGGGTTTATGAAGCAATTCAATGTATATAAAGTATCTATGAATCAGTATTCTGATCTTCTTGTGCAGCAAGTCATGATGACTGATCTATTTCTACACTTGCTAATTATATTATGTTAAAAAATACTTGGTGTTGAAGTGACTTTTATGCAAAAATTCTGTGAAGTTGAAATTTAAGAAGGACTCACCAGGAAGGTATAACTGAAATATTTTGCTTTGAGTCAGTTTGATCCATTTCAAAACAGTTTGTTGTGTTGCTGTGGGTTACTTAATGTTGAGTCTGAGCCATGTGTGTGAACTGCTCTGGTATTTTTGGGACAGGTAGCATTGTATCTTGGTTATTTCTTACAGCAACCTCTGCATTATCTAACCAAGGGTGTGTTGCAGTCTCCCTTCTTACCTACTGTAGTGCTGGATCACAGGGAAAAAGGGACAGAGAATCTCACTCTGGACAGATGAGACAAACTGATGTCAAACTGGGTCAAACCAAAATATTTTGCTTTGGTTCAACTAATTGAAATGAAGTGTTTCAATTCAGGAATACCAAACCACTTCATTTTTTAATCAAAAGGAAATAACGTGTTTGGCACTTGCTAATGTCAGATTTATGAAGGCAGGGGTGTGAATTTCTCTTAGATGATGAAGAAACAGGGCTCCACCATAGTGCACCACACACCAACCTAGGGAGAAAAGGGCTTTTATGCTCAGTTTGAAAGAAAGAAGTTACCAGTTTAAAGGAGCGAATATTACAGTAGCACCTTTGGAAGGTTAAGAGGGCAATATCAATACAAACATGAGAAGAGAACCTGACATTGTAGCACAGACTCAAATTAAATACTTAATAGGCATGTTAGAAATTTGCTGGGATCAGTCACAGGATTGAAGCATTCATACAGCTCACTCTGTAAGGACAGGAGAGATGGAGCAGCATTATCCATGCTTCTCCTGAAGCTGTGGACTGATGAAGGACAGACTTGGCTGGGTGGAGTTAGAAAGAGAGAAAGAGCAGATCCTATTTGACAGGTGGGTTTAATTTAAACCACCTGCCTGGGACGAGTGGAAAGATGCTTTTGATTGACTCTTGGAAGCACTTTTTAGCCAAATGTCAGTGGCAATGGACACTTCATGTGGATATTGCAGGTAAAGGCAACATGGCAAAAAAAAAAATCAGTGTATCACCATCTTGGAATATGTTGAGGCAACTCTGTTTCACAGGGTGAAAGTTACTGGGGAGCTATTTTAGCTGAGCTTTAGCAAGGAGGACTTACCTGTGCACAGAATCGCAAGCTGATTTGGGTTGAAAGGGACCTGTAAAGGCCACCTAGTCCAACCCATCCCTGCAGTGAACAGGGACATCTTCTACTAGAAAAGGCTCTCAGGGCCCTGTCCATCCTTACCCTGACTGTGTCCAGGGATGGGGTATCCCACCACCTTGGGGAGCCCGTGCCAGTGTTTCACTGCCCTCATTGTAAAAAACGACTTCCTTACATCTACTCTAATTCTGACTTCTTTTAGTTTAAAAACATCACCCCGTCCTATCCTACAGACCCTGCTAAAAAATTTGTCTCTGTTTTTTTTTTGTTTTTTTTTTTTTTTACAAGCCCCCTTTAAGTATTCTGAAGAAAGAATGGTTAATGAAATTAGAAATATGAATCCACGTAAGAAAGAGGTTTGGATTCCTGGACAGACTGTCAGTTTGTACAGACCTGGATTGTAAAATTATTTTAAAACATTAAAATTGCCAAGAGTAGTTAATGTTTAACTAACGTAATTTCTCAGTTTATAGGGCAACTAGTATGCAGTAGATATTAGACAGATATTCATTTAATCTTGATCTTGGCTTTCAGCATCATCCTTCGTTATGTTCTCTGACTGGATTACCAGTCAAAATTTGAGTGATAAAACTGGGTAATTTGACCCAGTCAGAGTTGTCTGGTTGGACAAATATGTTGATGAGGTGATAAGGTAAGGAGATACAGCTCAGATGTTCTAATTGCATGAGTAGTAAAACCATGGCACAGATAACTTAGGGAGAAAGTGGAATATTCTTGACTGAATTTTTGCAAGAACAAGTGTGGCAAATGTTTTTCAGAGACGGTCTAAATTATTTATTCTGCTTTACAGCAAGGGAGGAGATTAAATAATCCCTCCAAATCACCTCTAGGCGTGGATTTTTAACGTTCTATTAAGTGGGCACTTTAGGGTCTTTTAAGATCACCGATTCTCAGGTGGGGTCAGGACAGGGAAAGACAAGGTACTATGGAAATTTTCCTCAGGGTAGGTGTTCATACAAGTACAGTTTTTGTGTTTTCCTTTTGTATTCTTTACCTGCTCTGCAGAACCTAAGACAAGAATGCCCAACTTCCCAGGTTGAAATACTGCACATCAGACCAGCAGAAGAGGCTACAGCAGTTTATCTGAAAATGTTAAAATGTATTTGCATAAGCCTGATTTTATAAAGAGTTGTGCTCCAATGATGAGGAACAAAGGAAGGGCATGTGATAGAAATGTGCCATGTAAACAGCTCAGATTGCTCCTAGCAATTACATGGTTCTAAATGGGTAACAGATCATGAACTGTATTTGTAAAGATTATTCAGCAGTTTCAAAAACCAAAAATATTTAAGAAAATCGTGCCTTTCTGGAGGCATCTGGCAAACAGATAAAGAACTGAAGTTCATTAATGGGTGAGTCATTGCTTCTGTGTCCTTGCCTGAGATACCCACACAAAACTCTTACTGGCTTCAGCAGGTGGTGTGGTCAGCCTGAAGAAGAGCATGGCCTCTTGGCCAGGCTCTGGTCTGATTTCAGTCTCACATTGCCTAAAATCACCCACAAATCAATCAGAGAGGAAAGATTGCCTCAACCAAGGTCCTTCAGCACTCTTCTTTCTCCCGTTCCTCTTCTCATCCTGCTCATTGCATCTTCTGCTCCTCTTATGCCCAGGGTCTTGCTGGCCCTTTTTCAGGGTGGTGACCACATGGCCGATCTCTCTACAAAGCCCTGACTTATGGGTGATAGCCACAGAACTTTTTGCCTTTGCTTGGCCATCACCACTTTCTTCCAGAGTACCTTGCCCTTGCTACAGGGATGGTTGTTGCTCATGAAGCAGGGGCTGAATTGCAAATTAAAAACTTACAGTAATTTTATGTACTTTTATACAGAATTACAGAAGTACTGATTTAATTGACTCCATGGATTTGCAACCAGCAGTTCAGCAGCTGCTTCATGAGCCATCCTTGCAGGAGGTGAACGTCAGAGGGATGAGTGAGTTGGATGCTGAGAAGTGGGAATTGATCTAGTCATCCCAAGAGAAATCATCTCCATTTGTGAGTCAAAGCCTGCCATCTCTTGCCTGAGATGAAGGGAATCTCCCAAGGGCAACTTATCTTGCACGATCTCATCACTTGAGATCAAACATCACGATATGGGGTCAATAGACAATTCTAAAAGTGCATGCAAACCTCCGTTCAAATTCACATACAGCTCTAGCCAAAACACAACCCAAATCATGATCCAAATAACCTCCTCCTCAGCCCACCTTCATTGCTGTTCTGCTTCAGTGGCAGATGCAGCACAGAAAAGATGCCTGAATGCTTAATTCAGAAATTTACTGTTTAAGGCATTACTTGTATGAACACCAGCGTAACACGTAGAATACCAATGCCCTAAATTTAGTAGTTTTGTCTGAGTCATTTTCACTATGTGGGAGGGCTGTGAAGACACTCCACAGAGTGGAGAAACTTGCTGGTGGTGTCTGTCCAATTAGATTATTTTTTTTAAAAGTCAGAACACAGCAGAACTACAGATATGTTTGTGAGTAAAATGCAGTTTTGTTGCAGACTTCAGCACAGGAGTGGGGGGGGGTGTTGCTCTCCACCCACTTCAAAAGCTGAAGTTGAGTTTGATTGATACGTATCTCTGACACTGAAATAGGTACAGAATTTTTCATGACAGCAACACACAGACACAGGTAAACACTTTGGCTGCGTGACTGGGACGTGGTGTGGTGTAATCCCCAGATTTGTCTGTGCAGTTACATCTTATTTTCAGATCTCCTAGCAATAGCAGCTGAGTTGATACAATCCTACATGTTACCAACCAGCAGGCAAAAGTTATTCCTGGACTTACTCACTGAGGGATGAAATGTCGCACTGAAGAGCAGGTGACTTCTGCATAAGTCATTCAGTAGGGCTAGAGATACATGCACAGGCTTTGAATAGATGTGGGTGCCAGTAATTAGGTGTGGATGTGAAGGAGGCAATAAGACTTGGTGTTCTGAGCTGGTAACACCTTTCTGCCAGTCTGGATTTTATCCTTGCTCCGTTACCCTTTCTGCATGAATGCAGCTGATTTCAAGTTGATATGAATTTAGCAATTTCGGTTTAGAGATTCTTTCTGGGACCCTGTGGAACAAAACTGCTCCTCTCCTCCAATAAAAACCTAACTTCAGTGCCTTATTTTAGCCAGAATCAGTCATGTTTTTATTCTGAATAAAAGTTAGTTCTAGCTCGACTCCTGCACTCTGGGTTTGGAGCGGACTCTTCCTCGGGCAGAGGTGAAGGGTGTTTTCATGCACTGTATCCTGTCTGATATCAGCCATGGCAGATATGTAAACATACTTGGGCTTGACCCTATGAACCTGATTCTCATGAGTGGTGCCATAGAGTTCAGGGCTCTGCTCACACACACCAGAGGATTGATTGTAATGTGTTTAATGCCAATGAGATGAACTCTGTTCCTAGAGAAACTTGAGTAAAATCAAAGGCTTGTTAATAGAAAAAGTAGTTAGCTGTTATCCTAAACAGAGCAAAATGCCAAACAAAATCCTGCTCTGCTATTTGTTCTCATGCTGGCATTTAGCTGCCAGGAAGCACCAGTCTTATAAACATGAAATTATATCCATGGTAACATGCAAGACTTGTTTAACTTTGAAGCATGTTAAAAGGTACATTAAAAAATTTTCTATTTTACTGTTGAGAATAGCACTTATGACTTTTAACTCAGCCTGAGAGCTGTTGACTGGTGAAGGTAAGGGCCAGAGGCACAGCTCCTTCCTCAGAGCACTTGTTGTTGCTACACATTCCCAGAAGGTATTATTGCTTAAATACAGCTTGTGTTTTTTTTACCCAGATTTCTTTAACTGGGAAGATATGACAGGTTGTGATACTGGACTGCAGTGAAGCTCCACCTGTGCTGTTCTACCCTTCATGAGTGAGCAGTGCTGGGCAGTGCAGCAGGCATGCTCCTGCCCTTTTCAGGTAAGTACTGGATTCAAGGATCCGGCTTTGTGATATGGCATCCTGGGATTATAAGCACTCTGCTCAGGAGCTGCTTAGTGACTCCTACATCATGCTAGAAAGCAGACATTGCTCACAGAGTGGGAGAGCAACTGGAGCAGGGCGTAGACTGAATTTAGTGTCTGGGCTGGAAAATGTATTGGGAAAAGTAGCAGAAAGATCCCAACTTTGAGCAAAAGCTGAAGCTGAAAACTGCAGATGGTTTTCTTGTCTGTACGATAACGTCAAACCCAAAAAAGGGGAGTTTTCACACACTGTTGTCTGTTTAGCACAAAGTGAAAATTATGTACTGGAAAATGGAGCCCCATGTCTGGAGAAAACAGCTCTGTCTGTACCTATAAAATCCCATACAGGGCTCTGTGGAAGCTGGGCTTGGCTGCTTTGAGGAGGTCTCTGAAGTCTTGAGCTCTGTTTATTGTGGAGTGAAGGGAGGGAAAAAGACCAATGGGATGTGCCCTCAGTAGCTTTTATCTATTAGCACCTGCATGATAATGCCACTTGAACTGTGCAAGGAACCACTTCTAAAAACTAGAAATTCCATCTGTAAGGGCAGCAGAACAGTCTGTACTGGTTATGAGGGCAGTGCCAGAGGTCACAATGGTTACAGGTGGATTCCACAAAGCATGTGGAAAAGAAGGACAGAAGAACAGGGTGTTCTGGTAGCTACTCTGTGTCCCTTGAAGCAAGGGGCTGGTGGATGCAGTAGCCTGGATGTGTCTGGCTCTGAAAAGACAGCAATATCTTTGAAGAATACACATATATTTGCTGTCTTCTCTTAGCTGTTCTTCAGGGTTCTGCTTTTTTGTGTAGAAATTTAACAACACATGTGCTGGCATGAACCTGTCTTAAAAGAAAAATGGAGATAATGTATCAGCACAGTCTGACCCCTCTCTTGGGTAAATCCCTTTTTTTAGGAGAGACTCAGACCTATCTCTAGCTGGACAAGGAGGTTGAGCTGTGCCTTTTCCACTTTTGTAAAGTGGACACAGACCATGTGTTCCAGAAGGGTGAATGATTTGACACTGTGCCTCAGTTACTGGAGGTCTTGTGTTCAGCCTGCGGAGAAGGGAGTGTCTGAAATGCCTTGCCACTAAACTGTTGGATGCTGGTGCAAGGGGAGAGAGCTGAAGCACCAGGGAGTACCAGAGTAGCATCCTGGGGGCCTGAATCCACAGTAACTTTTTACAAGCGACTTCAGTGAGAGTCGTCTGTTCCATATCTTTTAAATACTTTATCTTCAGGTGCCTAGGATGAGAGCCTAGGAGCCTGAAGTACCTAATTTTGGAAAGAAAATGACTTTTTTGTGGGAAGTTTCCTTAAGGGACTTTAATGGTCATTGTGTAATGAACTTTGGATTCTGCCTTGAGTGCTGGTGTCCCTCATGGGATATGCACAGATCAGCCTGCAGAGTTGTCAGTACAAGGCATATTGCTGTGTCAGCCCTGTAGGTGCTCTGGTCTTTGCTCTGGATCTTAAATCTAGTCACGCAATTCTTCTCCTCTTGCAGGATGATGGTATCTCTAGCCCTGTCTGCTGGGTTCTTCCTGCTTTCGTGCTGAAGAGGTGTGTGGGAGAAGGTGGCCAGGCATATAGTGGTTGTAACAACCTTCTACTGATGGAGGCACAATGCTGGTGTGTGCTGGCAACACACCCAGCAGTGGATGCAGCTATTTCAGCAAAACTGTGCCATCTACTCCTGAATCTAGTGGGAGCAGGAGAGAAACAATACTTGCAGAAGTCTGGGTTGGAGGGCAGTGGGGTGTGTGTAACAGCTGAAATGGGGTGCAATGCTAGCCATGGGTTTTAACCTTCACATTCCAGTGCACACCACCAGTTGTGTGCATCTAGCTGGGATGTCTCCTGCTGCTGTCATTTCTGCTGGGGAAAGCCTCATTTAAAAGGTCCTTGGGCACTAGCCAGGAGAACTGTGGCACCGACAGGGACATGCTGGGACCCAAGAGACTCCATTAACTCAAGGACTTCCCCTAACCTTAGCAGACCTCAGGGCAGATGTCCAGCACTTGGATCCTGACCTCAGACCAAACGCCTCTGTCAGGTATCTCTGAGGGGAATTTAACTGAATTTTCCTCATTTCATCATTAAGTGCCCACTGGTGGGTTCTTCTGTTGAAGAGACAACAGGACCCACTGAAAGGCTATTTTTCCATGAGGGTAACTTACTGGTGACAGCTTTGGTGGGTGGCTACTGAACCAAGTGTCAAAGCCAACATCTAAAATGACCTTTAGGCTGTTTACTCAGAGCAGTAACAGACTCGCCCCCGACTTCCTGATAAGGCCATCACTTATCAAGAAGTAAGAAGAGCAAGTGGCTAGATATGGAAATCATTGTGGGAGTGAACCTAATTAAAAACATACAGCATCGTACAGAGGCAATATTACTACACTGGTAACCTTTGCCTCTTCTGTGGAATATGTATACAGAAAACAGGACAATAACCAGGAATTGGGAAAAAAAGAAATATCTATTCAAAGTCAATTCCAAAACAAATGGGAAGCCTTCTCTTAGACAGACAGACGTGTATAATTTAATTCAAGTGTCTCCTCATGACCTATGATTCTTTTTCCTAGCTATGCAGTAAAGTATCAGAAGTCAACAATTTTCATCTCACTTAGGTGAAACTTTTTAGAAGAACAGTCTAAAGTAAGCCAAGAGATTAAGTAGACACTAAAAAAATTCAGTAAGATCTTAATTTAAAAGCTGGATATGCAGAAAGCTAAGTATCAAATAGAAGCCAGTGAGTCTGGTTTTCACTCTGAATTAGAAAATTAGGTTCTTACTTTAAAAAAGTTTCTCCATAATCATAAGACAAATATATACTTTAATACTTGCCTTGAGAAGTGCTTGGGTTTTTAATGGATTTATCTCAATAAGCTATGTTGTAGCATTTCACCATCTCAAACTAAACTTGTTTTTTTGCTGATGTTCACCTGGCTTTGTTCAAGAGGTTGTTTTTTCTTTTAATTAATCTTTCTGTTTATTTGAGTCAAAATAGCAGCACCCTCTAATCCCACTTTTGTATTTGCTAGAGAATGTCTAGACCGGCTAGCGTGAGGGTTTTCATCCTGGAAGGTTTTAGTAAGATCCTTCTCCACTTGCTATAGACGTCACACAAGCACTGAAACTGAAAGTTTCAGATGCGATACAACACCTAGCAATAAACTGTTTCACCTTTTTTTTTTTTTTTTAAAGGGAAAGAAGTACCATCTTTTGGCAGGGTTTCCTCTCAAAGCTCAGAGACTTGCTGATCTGTCGCGTAGATCTGTACTGTGGTTGCAAAATATCAAAACAGAACTAAGGATTTTTATATCTACTCTTCCCACCCAGCACTCACAGCTCCTTCCCCCTTCCCTGTCTGTCGGGTAGTTTCTGAAGGCGTTGAGGAGACGGGAAGGGAAGGAACACAGAACTGACCACTGGACAGATAAATGGACAGCAGTGCCAACAACTGAGCCCCATTTCTTTAGGAATACAGCCTGAAAATGCCTTGCTAATTAGAATGGATGATGAATATTTTATTTCTTGAGGAAAACTACAGGTTTTTTGAGGGGAGGTGGGGGAAAGCGAGGTAGAAGCAACTGGTTTCCACGTCAGATTAAGGAACTCGGAAGTCTTCCGGGCAAATGGTCCATTCTCTTCCTTATACTCTGGACTTTTTTAATGTGAATGATGGTTTTCTGTTGTCATGTGCTGTTGTGATACGTTGTGGGAATATTTGGCAATGATGCATGTTGGACATGGAGTCCAGTTGCAGCTGTTGGTCCATGAAGGATAATGACATCCAAACCGTAACTCCAGTTAAGTCACTGGGATGTTCTATTACTTATCAAATTTTGGAATTTTCATTGCAATTTTCTATGCAAAGCAGGCATTTGGAGTGGAAAAGGTCACTTTGATAAAAATCCAACTTTTCACTAAAATCAGTTCTCTTTAGCACCCTGTCCCAAAATCTGTTATGTTCACAGCGTTCCAGAACAGCTTTGCCATCTGTCAGAAGCAGTTTTAGGTAACAAATTATTCAACCTAACTGTGCCCTATCTTTGCCACACCAGTTGTGTGTGTCTTTGAACTTCCTTGGGATAGATAATCCCAAGGCTCCCCAAAGCTGGTAGGAATCCCAAGACACTGAGGGGGAAGCCCTAGAGCCAGGAAACAGAAATGTCCTGAGGACATGGGTGTTTCTGAAGTACCAAGCCCCCTGCTGAGGAGAGATATCTTCACCTACTACTGCAGAAAGCTAGTGTGTTCCAGCACGGAGGTAGTGCTGTTCCAGAAAGGAGCGTTTGTCTTGCTCTCCCTTTAAAATGGATCCTCCTTTGCATATTGTGTATGCTGGTAGGAGGTGGGAGGTCACACTCAGACTCTTCCTGACAAGATCCAAATTCATATTATCCACCCCCAGTTACTGTCTAAAACATGTGAAAAGTGCTCAGATAAGGGATTCTCTTTCAGCCATGTGTCCTAATCACTGGGCTGAAGATTCAGCCCTCTTTGCATCAAAGCCTGAATTTTTGTTGCATGATTTCAGCAGGTTTAGAGGGGAGTCCCCTATCCAAAACACTGTGGTTAAGGCATTTTTTGAGGCGGTGAGAGACAAAGGTTTGGACTGATGAATACATATCTTATGCTTCCTTTCAAGAGCATGCTAATTACAAGAGTGTGATATGAGAAGCAGACAGTGTTGCCACTACAGAATTGGTTACTCAGCCTGGGTTTTAAAAGCAAGTGGCCCCAGCCAGGTTTGAGAGGCCAGGCAGCACTGGGTCAGTGTGCTCGCAGCTGTGCTGCCTTGAATGTGTCCTTTCTGGGGGTTGGGCTTCAGTCTGGAAGGGATTTCAGTCAAGACTCTAAACCTGGGGAATATCTTGGGAATACGGGAGGCAGTCAGAGGGCAGGGGCATGCCCAGCTCTGGGGAGGGCAAAGGGGAAGCCTTTTCTGTCCG